AATCCGATCGAGTGGAAGCCTTGGGACAACGTGTGCCTTGCAAAGGAGTAGCGTAAGATGGCGGATCGTGTTGGTAAATCTTGGGTTTCAACAAGTGTGTGCTTGGGGTTAATTCGAATGAGTGAAAATATTAAGACAAGGAGTGTCTTCCAAGGTAGTAGCAAGAACATGTGAATTGAAGTGACATTGTTGGTTATTTGATCAATCTTTAATCAAGGGTTTTGTAGGTGATAGAGTCAACATCAAGCCTAAGGTTTGTAGGGTTGAATTGCTACATCTATTGTATTCACACTTTTTCAAAGTAAGGTTAATTGCAATCATCTCAATTCGAATTCAATTATGGGCAGACGTACCCATAACGAGGCTGATTAGGGAACTGCCTAAACAAATCCTTGTGTACTCTCTCTCTTAAAATCTCTTTTAATTGTGTTTGCAAATTATCAAATTCATTGTTCGTTTGATCAATTTTTTTGGGAATTATTTTTTTATTACATTTTAAAATAGGTTTTGTTGATTTAATCATAGTCTGTTTGATTGTGATTGTTTTCTAATATCAAGAAAACTAAGCAAATCTCCAAACGGTATCGATTGCACACAAAGCGTTCGATAAATTGCCTTATTGTGTTTTTGTGTCTTTTGATCATTGGGAATAAGCTTTATATATAGCTTTGCATTTAATTGGTTTTGATTAATAAATGTTGAACAATTTGTGTTCATTATCATACATTTGTGTACCTTTACGCATATCTGAGCTTTTCGATAGAGGTCCAATTAGACGATTCGATTTGGGTTTTTCCGATGTCCCATAAAACTTTTCAAACCATTTTTTGCCAAAATTTTTAACTTCTAACCTATTCACCCCTTCTAGATCGAAACATACCGTCTAACAAGGTAAATGTGATAGACTCTCTCTCTGTCATATAGAAGCAATGGTTATAGGGAAACTCTTTCGAACCGATCAAAATGGTGATTGACCACCCATTTGGACATAATTTCGATCTATCTGAATAACTTGTGGCACAGGGGATCCACCCGTGAAAGAGTACATGCAATCTAAATCCAAGATACATTAAACAGATTCCTGCATCACACACCTAACAAATAACGGATTATTATAACCTCTCTATTATATAAACGATAAAAGCGGAGAATTTAGATACACAATTCCAATCATAATTTCAATTCACTCTTCTCCCTCACATACTGACTTAATCTTCTTAGTGCTAACCTTGAAGGTCAGTCGCTCTTTGTTGCATCAGAAGCTCAAATCTACAGTTATCTTTCGCAACCACCAATCATCCAAATAAATCAGGTTCCATAATATATATATATATATATATATATATATATATATATATATATATATATATATATATATATATATATATATATATATATATATATATATATATATATATATATATATATATATATATATATATATATATATATATATATATATATATATATATATTTGTTAGACAACGACGACTTGTCTAGAGGGGGGTGAATAGACACTCAAGCCAAATTCACCAAATAAAATTTGGGTTTTATTGTTGTTTGAAAAAGAGTGCATACAAAAGGTTTTGATGTGGATCGATAAAAGTCGTCTACACGAACCTAGTTATTGGAAACTCAGATATGCAAAGTCAATTATGGAATGACAAAAACAATAATTTAATTCAACCTTTAATCGAGTATCACATTATTTCTCGTTTAAACTAATTACTTAGTAACGCTATTTCTAATGATAATAAGCAGAAAATATTGAACTAAGCAATTTATCAAACACTTGGTGTGCGAACGAATTTTCAGAATTTTCCTTGTGTTGTTGTTGATATGAATACCACTTATAATCAAAAGTGATTATAAGCTAATCAAAACCAAGTTAAAACAGAAATATCACAGGAAAATTCTTACGAGTCAATTGATTAATCAATGCTATTTGACAAATTGGGTAATGAAAAATAAAGCGAGTAAAGAGATAATAGAGAGATTGACACGAGGATTTATTCACGCAGTTCCCCACTTTTGTCCTCACGTGTGGGTACGTCTGCGCCTAACTTCTAATGTGGAATTAGGATACTTTCTTACTATGTAAAAAGTCGATGTACAAGAAAAATGTTCAAGAGCAACCATACAAACACTACCGGTTCTAATGTTAATTAAACCCCTTTTCTTCTTTTGATCTTGAGTAAGACGAAGACAACAATGGATGCCAATTGACTTGTAGATATTACTACTCCTTTGCATTCTTTATCTCCAAGATTTCACGCACGATCAATTGCACTGATTTTTCTACAAGACTTCAATTTGATTCGCCGTTTCCATTACTTCCTTTGTGTTCTTTATCTCCAAAGGATCCTTTGCATACTTTATCTCTAAAGGCTTTTACAACTTCGCAATCCTCTCTTGAACATCTTGCACAATAAACCCACGGTTTTTCCGGATGAAGACCCCTACAAATCTCAACCTGATATCTCGGCTACACAAGAACCCAATTGGACCTTATCAGGCCTTCACCTAGCTGGCACCCAAACAAAAGATTATTATGTGTGATTTGTCAGTGTGTAGACATAGGGCGGAGGTTGAAGATGATGAGCAGATGCAGGCTAATTTTATGGTATCACCGGTTTGAAATGAAGCATGAATGATGTATTTATAGTTTTGGAAGATTGGTGGAAAAGAGATATTTTTTTGAGTAAAAAAATAACATATCTGACCTACTTAAACAACATGTGTCGGCCTGAGCGATGGATGTGCCGACACATAACGTCACAAATAACAGTATGTGTCGACCTGAACAGACCTATATGGAGACTCAAATCAAACAGAGGTTACAGTCCTATTTAGGACAGTAGATGTGCCGGTCTGAAGTGTGTATGTGCAAACACATAAAGTTGAAACTTCTAGTATGTATCGACCTGAAGGGACTTATGTGCTGACCCAAATGAAACAGAACATACAGTCTTATTTATGACAGTAGATGTGCCAGTCTAAAACACGTATGTGCCGACACATAATATTGAAACTTTTAGTATGTGCCGACCGAAATGACCGTGTCGACCCAACCAAGTCAGAGCCTACAAGCTTTAATATTAAGTTACATGTGTCGACCTAAAATGTGTATGTGCCGACACATGTAGTACATTTTTGTGCAAAAAGCTATTTTTCATGATTCCTAAGACCTCTAATGCAAGGGAGCCACACATACTCAGAGCTACTATTTAATATAGCAAAATGCGAAGTAGTTTCAATATTTTGACATCATGCAAAACATCTCATGGTGAAGTTGCACTCACAACAGTGACATGAACAATGAACAATAATATAAACAGTATGCGAACAGTGACATGGACACTGCATGATCATTGACCGTGAAGAATGCATGAACAATGACTTTAGTAGAAAAATAAAGTTCATTAATGAAATAAGAAGTTATTTAATGATGTGATGAAGTTGGTTAGTAAAGTCTCAGATATTAAAAATAATTTTTATTAGTAAAATAAAGTTGGTTAATGAACTGTAAAAAAGTTGGTTAATGAACTTATGAAGTTGATTAATAAATGCTCAAGTATTAAAAATAATTTTAAGTGAAGAAAACTGTTAGGTTTGGGCTCCCTTCCTATGTGGAGAAAGATCCAAATATGATTAGCCCATTTTTCTCACTAAATTTAAGTGAGGATGATCAATTTAAGGTTAAGAGAGATAGAGAGGAAATGATAATTCAACGGAGGGAAAAAAAAAGAGAGAGAAATATATTTATGTTTTTCTACAACCAGTCCCACTAAATTGATGACCCCTGATTCGTTAACTGTCGGATCTAACTCAACTTCGGAGGGCTTGTTCGCACACCTGTATCTAACTTTTGACCGTTCAGAATTTCAAAATAAGGTCTGAGCCGAGAGATATCTGTTTCACACTGAAGTTGCAGATTTAAATGATTTTTAGCTTTTGATTCTTATTTGTAAGCTAGTTTTCTTTGTGATTTGCGGTTATTAATACTAGTTTGTGAATCACTTTAAAACTCTCTTATACCATTAATTAATTATAGTGGAGGTATTTCTATGTCTGTACGACTCGTGATTTTTAATCTCATATTAAAGAATTTCTTTTGTGCCTTTATTTGTTCAATTTGTCGTGTCATATTTGTTGTTGATCCTCAAGGTTTCTAAAAGTGTGAGAAATTTTATATCGGTTGCGTATTAATTTATTATTATGTCTTAATTTCTCATCAGAGTGGTATCAGAGTCTGGTTAAGGGTTATTTTACTTGTTTGAATAATAAAGTCAAATACAAAGATGAAAATGATATTGTTAAATGATTCTAATTACCATTTATGAATGGGCAAGACGAGAGACTTACTATTTGTGAAAAAAATATATTTATGGGTTATAGTTCCGCAAAACCGAATTCTGTATTCGATGAAGAATATGAATTTGAAAATTAATTAATTAATTACATAATTTTAGATATGTCCCCCTTAATCTAAAAAAAGTTATTTTTTTTTAAAACTTATTATTATTATCATATTTTTCCAAAAAGATAATAATAATATCATTTTTCCAAAAAGAAATTTAGTATTGCATTTGGAAAGAGTGTTAATTGGCATCTTACAGCCACATAGAAGTAAAACCAGAACAGAAGACTCTATCAACAATAAACAAGGCATCCGTGACATGAAGAGGATTTAACCTTAAAATCACCAAGTAGACTCAAAGCCCATGGTTACAACAAGCAACAAACAACTTACACGTGACAACCATAAAGATATATGAAAACACTTTAAATAATTACTACATTAAGAAAATAACTGAAAAACAACTAAAAAGTAATAAATAAAGTCCTTTTTTTTTCAATTGGTAAGAAACAAATCATTTATTTTGAATTATCTCGCCGACCAAACTAACCTTAAATACCAGCCAAGTAAAAACATAGCTCATTCATTCCATCATTCCAAAAAACAACGACACATTCTTGGTTCCTAGCCACAAGAAAAAATGAAGAAAACTTCAACTACTGTCACCTTTTTCCCTCTTCATATTCTTCTTCTCTCTTGTTTCCTTCTCCATCTCAGTCAATCTTTTCCTCTAATGAAAGACGAAGACGATGATTTGATAGACCAGATATGCAAGAAAACACCGTTTTATGACCTATGCAGCTCCATCTTACATGCCAACCCTCTAGCTCCGAAATCTGATCCTAAAGGTATGGCTCTGATAATGGTGAACGACCTCTTGGCAAATGCTAGTGACACACTGAGTTTCATTGAAGAGCTTATCAAACGGACATCAGACAAAGATTTGGAGCAACAGTTGGCTTTTTGTGCGGAGTCATATATTCCGGTAGTGAAGTATATTATTCCACAAGCAGCTGAAGCTATAAGCCAAGGAAGATTTGGGTTTGCAAGCTACTCTATTGTTGATGCGGAGAAGGAAATTGATGCTTGTAATAAGAAATTCTCAGGTAGTTCAGTCTTAGGTGATAGGAATAGCATTATGCAGAAGCTGGTGGATGTAGCTGCAGCCATTGTAAAATTGTTATTAAATGGTTGATTTGTTTATTGTTATTCTATGAATAAATACTTGATTATGAATACGTTTAATATATTTATTTTTTAAAAATTATTATTGCTGTATATATATATGAAGTGAGAGGAGTGGTTTTAAAGAACCATGGATTGGAAAGTGTTTTAGGTAGTGAAAGAGATTGTTTTGTCAACTTCAATTAATTTGATGTCGGGTCAGAGAGAGTGAGGGAAGAAGATGACATGTGAAATCACATGCCTATAGGTAAACGTCGACACGTATGAATAGAGTCCAAAATGGTATACCGACGTTGGAATGAGAATTTGGGTTTGTGTTTTTGATGGGTTGAAAGGGATGGAGGTTTGGAATAACGTGAAATCAGCTCAAACAATTAAACCAAATCAATAATGACTACTTGTTAGAGATCTAGTGCATTGAATCAATGATTTTATTAAATTTGTAATAATTATTGGAAAAAAAAATGAACTAACCGTGTAAAATACCAATCACAACTATTTATCAAAATAACATATATTTTTATTTTAAAAATATTGACATGATAATTATAAACATTTTAATTGATTGCATGTGTAAAACTGGCTTACTCTAAGGTGCACTACCTTTAAAATTAATTAAATGTTAAAATAATTTAAATATGATTTAAAATTATTTTATACTTATAAACTAATTTATAATCGATTTATAATTATAAATCAATTTATAATTTTTAACATTTAAAAATTAATAATTTAAGTGAATCAAAAAGTAAAAAAATTAAGAAAAAATTTTAAAAGTTTATTTTTTTTTGGTTGCTAAATTACAGTTTTTGTCATCCTATTTTGTTTAACTCACAAAATCAGTCTTACTATTTATTCTTTAAACAGTTTTAGTCCCCTATCTCAATTTTTCGTTCAAAAAACATTGTTGTGGATTTTTTTTAAATATGTGACATACTTCTGTTGGAAAGAATAATTATTCATTGTATGTTTTATGACATTTTCTTTTTCGTTCTTCAAATAATGTTCTCTTTGTCTTGTTCAAAAAATATGTCACATATACAAAAAAGTGACACATCAACCGTTTTTCGAAAGAAAAATAGACATGAAGAACCAAAACTGTTTAAAAAATAAATAGGAAGATTGATTTCGTGAGTTGACCAAAATAGAAGGACCAAAACTATAATTTATTCAATTTTTTTTTTAATTTTTAGATATTTTTTATTAAAAAAATATTTTTGTTTTCCGAATTTTTTTTTTAAAGTTTTCGGCAAAAAAAGTTTTTATTTTTACTTTTTATTTATTGAAAAAAATTATATTATTCATTTTTTGGAATAAATTTGATTTTTTAATTTTCAGAAAATTTTTCCTCAAAAATATTTTTTCTTGGAATTAATTTTTTTTTTCAGAAAAAAATATATTTTTAATTTTTTGTAACAAAAATGTCTTTTTTATCTTTCGGAATAAATATTTTTTATTTTAGAAAAAAACTGTTTTTAATTTTGTTTTTCATATTTTTTTTATATTTCAAAAAATCTTTTATATATATTTTATCTTTTTGAATAACGAATATTGTTTTTATAGATGTTGGCATAAAACCAACCTTAAGACACATGATGCCTTAGCCTAGGTTGTTTTGGCGTTTGTTTGTTTAGTGTTGGTTTGGTTGGGTCTTCGGATCACTTTTTTTTTTTTATTGGAATTTTAATAAAAATTTTTTTTCAAAAATAAATAATTATTTTCATAATTTTTGTTTGATTTAAAAAAATTATATTTATTATTTTTTGGAATAAAAATTATTTTTGTCTAATTTATTATTTACTTTTATTATGTTTTTGGTCTCTCATTTTAAAATCTATAATTTTAGTCCATTTAATTTGTTTTTCTTTTTTTGAATTTTAATCCCCCATCAAATTTGGGAGCACTTTTTATTGACGTGTTACTCATTTTACTAACATGTTATTGCCAACTCAAAATTTAATTATTTTAATTTAATTTTTTTTAAATTTGAATTTATGTTAATTCTTTTTAAAAGTACATAATTTATTTTATAAGTAAAACTAAAATAAATTAATTGAAATTCACTCAACTTCCATTCTTATTCATATGAATCTAGATTTCCATTTCCTAAAAAAACACGAATCTTACCAGAGTTTCTTTGTAAATCACTTGTGTGTGATTTCGTCTCAAGTTCATTTACACTATTCAGTCGCCAACGTTGGTTTGTAAAAATAGTGACAATAAAAATTCGAGTTATAATTGAGGATCTATTTTGTCGATTGATTTGAATGTAAATATTGTATTTTTGAAATGTGTTTTTCATGACCCAAATGAAAAGTTTGAATTTTTTTTAAGGTTTGATGTTAAATCTATTATTGATTTGTGAAAATTATGTCACCCTTTTGTATAGGTTTTGGAAATTTAGGAAATAGTGAAATGGCTTAGTGATTTTCTTTTCAAATTTTGTATATTTTTGTTTTTTTTAGTATGATTTTGTGGATTTTTTTATCCCAGTGCCCCTTTTTGAAAAAAAAAATCCCAAAATACCCCATTTTGAAAATTATTTACCAATATGCCCCCTTTCTTGTATGGGCTCGTCCATTCATTGAACCAACACCCTAAGCCCACTACATGTTCGCCCAATGGAAGGACGAGCTAGTGGAGATTATTTAGCAAGCATGAGTTCGTCCATTGGAAGGACGAGCATGTGGTAGTTTTAATTTTTTAATTTTTTTTATTTTCTGAATTATATTTATGTATTATTGGATTTATTTATTTAAACATTTAATATTTATTTATTATAAGTAATAATAAAATAATAATATAAAATTTAATAAATAATAAAATTTTATTTTTTTTAATTCTTAATTTTATGTATATTTATTTTTTAATACATTTTTTATTTATTTATTTATGAATTGTAAATAATAAAATTACTAATGTTTATTTTTATAAATAATAAAATTACTAATTTTAATTTTTATAAATAATAAAATTTTAATGTTAATTTGAATAAATAATAAAACTTTAAGTATAATTAATACGAAAAATAATGTTTTTTTTTTGAAAAATAAATTATTAAATAGTCATTGATTAAGAATTAAATGAGTTTAAGTATAATTGATTAAGACCCATTTAATTCTCATTTAATTCTTAATCAATGACTATTTAATAATTTATTTTTCAAAAAAAAAACATTATTTTTCGTATTAATTATACTTAAAGTTTTATTATTTATTCAAATTAACATTAAAATTTTATTATTTATAAAAATTAAAATTAGTAATTTTATTATTTATAAAAATAAACATTAGTAATTTTATTATTTACAATTCATAAATAAATAAATAAAAAATGTATTAAAAAATAAATATACATAAAATTAAGAATTAAAAAAAATAAAATTTTATTATTTATTAAATTTTATATTATTATTTTATTATTACTTATAATAAATAAATATTAAATGTTTAAATAAATAAATCCAATAATACATAAATATAATTCAGAAAATAAAAAAAATAAAAAAATTAAAACTACCACATGCTCGTCCTTCCAATGGACGAGCTCATGCTTGCTAAATAATCTCCACTAGCTCGTCCTTCCATTGGGCGAGCATGTAGTGGGCTTAGAGTGTTGGTCCAATGAATGGACGAGCCCATACAAGAAAGGGGGCATATTGGTAAATAATTTTCAAAATGGGGTATTTTGGGATTTTTTTTCTTCAAAAAGGGGCACTGGGGTAAAAAATCCTGATTTTGTTGTGTTTTGTTTCCTTAGGCGTTCTACTGTGGAATAAGAATCTGACATCATAGATTAATTGTTACAGTCTTCGGTAGAACATCTTTGCAACTTGTGAGAAGATGAGAGGTTTGGTTACTCTTATGGTCTAAATGAGCCTCTCATTTGTCCTAAACCACGCCGAGTTAGGGATTTGTCGAATGTTCATATGCGACAATTCAGATTTAATTTCAAGTAACAATATTATAATTAATTTGACTTTTGTTGACATGGAAATAGATTTAAGTCCTGGTTTTAGATTTGTGTTCTTTAAGAGCATATTTAATGCAGGTTTTTAATAGTTAAATTTTTTATAGTTAAAGATAATTATAAAGAATTTGCATTACAATAAATAACTATGACATGTCATTTAATTCACTAACTTTTAGTTTTCGGTAATTATAATAACTAACGTATGTTATTTATTTTGAAACATATAATATTATTATTTATATTATTTAAAATAATTAAATTAATGGTAACTTCAATAAAAAAATAATTATAATTAAAAAATATAAAATATAGGGTCAAGTTTTAATTTTTTATTAGCAACTATCATTAAAGTAAAAACAATTTAAATCAACTATAAATTTTCTAAATCCTACAAATCACTTTGACCCCACAAACAATATATTAATTTACCCACTTAAAATACTTCCACTAAATATACTCTAAGAGAAATGAAAAGACGGATTTATATGAATAAAAATGAAAACTTAGTTAATTTTAATTAATTAATTTTAATTTTACTTATAAATTGAATTATTTATTTTTCAAAAATAACAATAACAGAAATTTGAATTAAAAAATAAAATTGGAATAGTTAAATGTTGAATTGGTAATAATATGACAACATAGTGACTGCCACGTCATTAAAAAGTGCCAGTCATATTTGATGCGGAGGACTAAAATTTTTAAAAAAATCAAATTAAAAAGACTAAAATTTCAGATTATAAAATGAGAGGATCAAAAAAAATAAAAATAAATAAATAATAAAGAATCAACATTGTAATTAAACCAATTATTTTTTTATTTTAAAAAATTAATACATAAAATTAAACCAATTTATAAAAGGAAATTGGTTTTAAACTAGTTTTAAATTAAATTAGAATTATTTAAATTTAATGGTTCAGTTTATCAATCATTTAAGTGGTTCAATTTTTTATAGTACAATTATGTATGACAATCATTCTAAACTAGTTTGTATATCATGAGTAAGTCTTAATCACAATATCAAGAATTAATGTAAAT